TTAAGATAATCGGCCAGAGGGGCAGCTAGATGGTGCAGTGGATAGAGCACTGGCCCTGGAATCAGGAGGACCTAAGTTCAAATCCAGCCTCAGACACTTGACATTTATTAGCTGTGTGACCCTGAGCAAGTCACTTAATCCCATTGCTTAGCGGGGGGGCGGGAGATTATAAGACAGATACTTTTTAAAAAATGGAAAATAACTTAGCTTTCTGTACCATTTTCCATACCATTTTTGTGTAAAATCCAATTAATCCTTAATTAATAAATCCTTAATCCAATTTTGAGAACTTATTATCAAAACATATTACTAAACTTAAAATTAAAATTCAAAGCCTGAATTTCCATGATAGGTAAATGTTGGAAGTCAATCATATATATCTGTACATAGTTCTTTAGTTCCTATTGGTTTCTCAAAATTTACTGTTCCATTTAATTAAGAAAAAGCTCAATCATGTATAATAACATCCAGATTAAAAAGTGTTTTATCTAAAAGCATTTCTGTTACTATGGTTTCTCAAATTTTACAATATAAGAGAACTTTAGAAATGCAATACAATTTAGAAATATAATAATAACAAAAACAATAAACTTCAGATGATATCAGTTACATTTCCAAATTATCACATATAAAAATCATTGATCTTATTACCTTTGGCATTTTAAAACTACTTTAAAGTTATCAAGCATAGAACAATTACATTAAATTAAAGAAATAATAATAATGTAGTACTTGGTAAGCATTTTATAATCATTATATCATTTTGATCTCACAACAACCACCATTATTATTTTTCTCTTCACAAATCAAGAAATTGGGGTGAACAGAGATAAGACATCTTGCCTAAAACTGCACAGGTAATAAGTTTCTGCAACTGGAACAGAGCAGGGTGGACTCAAGAGGGGCAGAGGCTGGCTGTCTCCCCTATCCTGTACGTCCATGCTAGGTGTTGCCAAGGGCACCAGAACCCTCCCAGGCAGCAGCTTATTGCGAACTGCTGAGGGCTGGCCCTGTCCCGGAGACACTGAATAACTGAGCTCGGGTGAGGGGAGGGGTCCTAGGGTGGCAGAGGGCACTGCCTGGGGCCTGGGGTGGCTGGTGCCAGGACCTTCCCATTGGTGGTAGTTCCATGTTGCAGGACAAAGTGAATGCTGGCTGTGAGGCCTGAGCCCACCCCACAAACAGTTGCAGGTGCTGCTGGGGCTGGGGCCACTTGCAGCTGCTAGGACAGGGTGGGCAGCATGTCTAGGGGCATAGGACTTTTGGGGCCACTGCCAGTGTGGGTCCCCCACTGCAGCTGCTACTCCCCCTCCACCAGGTGGGGCAGAATGTTTCCCCCAATTCTCCAGCATTCTCTTTCCCTAATGCCTGCATATGGGAATCTAATCTGGGATGAGAAGGGTTAACAGGATAAAAGAGTGGGTCTCTGAACTGGGGAGGAGGGTTAAGAAGAGGGTGAACTAAGGTGCAAACCATTTACCTATTTTTTTTCTCCACTCTCTCCAGTCTGCCATTGCTGCCAAAACTAGCTTTCCTTCATTGCCCTAGAACAATGAAACTATTCATCTTGCCAATTACTTTTTAAAACTTTTTAAACCTTTTATTAGATTTAATCCTGATTTTTCCTTAAAACAAATTCTACAGAGTGATACTCCAAAACTTACTGAAATGTTTCAGAAATTACCCCAATGTCTCAGGAGTTCTCTCCTGCAATCTTAAAATGACTAATTGCCAAACACCTGAATGATTAATCTCAAAATCTTCAGAATCTGCTAAGATGTTTTTAGCAGTTCTACATCTTCAATTATCTAACTTTATCTCTGTAGTTCCAACTTGGCCAGTGCTGTAACAACAGGGGAAAACAGTGTCTTACAGGCTTTTGCTCTTTTCTCATAACCTAATCTCCTGCAGAGAGCATAAAGTGAGACAAGTCCTTCCTATTTACTGGGGCAAGAGCTTCAGCTATGAAAGTTTATTAATCTTCCCAGTGTTTTCTCTAACTATAGCCTTTGAAGTTTTTCTGGCTGGCTGCATTTTAAATCTTTCAGGGTAACAGAATCTAGTTCACAATACAAACATTCTGCATCTTATTCATTTTTTTTTTTTAGCGAGGCAGTGGGGGTTAAGGGACTTGTCCAGGGTCACACAGCGAGTAAGTGTCAAGTGTCTGAGACCAGATTTGAACTCAGGTCCTCCTGACTCCAAGGCCAGAGCTTTATCCACTGTGCCACCTAGCTGCCCAACATTCTGCATCTTAAAAAGACACACAGATACAGACAAAATAATAAGACATATACAAAGCATGCAATTAAAATTCTAATTGCAACAGATTCCAGAAGCACACAAACCAGAGACATAAGCAATTAAACAGACCTGATGCTTTCTCAGATACAAATTTACCAGATGCATGCAAAACAAAACAAAACAAAACCCAAAGGCATGCAATTAAGTCAATTAGCCCATGTGCAAAAAAGGTCTTACCAGAGCAGTTTGGGACAAATCACTGTGTCAGGAAAGGGGCCCTGGAGTTTTTCTTCACAAAGAAAGGTGAGCTCAATCAAAGGTGAACCAATAATGGAGCATCAATGAGAGCAATGAACTTTCTAGAAGTGGTGGGGCAGACTCTGAAGAAACTCCAGTGGTGCCTCTTCCAACTCTCCTGCATGGGAGACTTCCCCCCTTAAGACTGATGCCACCAGTAAATGTCAACAGAATTTTGAATGAATAGTGGACTGGTCCCTAACCTGGGAATGGCTGGAGCTGAAACAGAGCAGTCAGAGGCAGGTGTGTCGGGAATCAGGCAGTCATTTAATTGGTTTCAGAGTGAGGAAAACACTTGCTGGTGGAAGTGCTCCTGAGTGGGAGCTCTGAACATGTTGGGGTACAGGCAGTGCTTGTATACATAATGAACCACAAATGGGCTGGACTATGACATAATCATTCTTAGGTCCTAAGTTACTGTTCCTGGGGGTCCTGTGGGAACAGTTCTTGTCTCAAGTCTTGGGGGTCATGAATACTCTGTGGGGTACAGGACAAGAGTTCTGTGGTGGGAACAGGAGTACAAGGAACAGAGAGTGTGAATGTATCAGAGACATAGTGGATGTTGGCTCGCAGGCCCCTGGGAAATAGGGGGAATGAACACCTGGTGCAGTACACTTTGTCAGAGGGTGAGATCATCCAGAGGGTAAAGGATTATTGTTATGCCAAGCTCAGGGTACAGCCTACTGGCTGGGCCATAGCTCTGGGACACAGAATATCTTCAAAATATTTTGACATATTCTAAAATGGGGCATGAAAAGAAGAACTCATACAGAAGAGACAAGTAGGGGTGGGGAGAGCTGCTAGTGTTGGAACCTTACTCTCATCTGGGTTGAAAAAAGAACATACATCTGAAAGGGTGTAGGAGTCTTCTGAAATACAGAAAGGTGAGAAAATTAGGGGACAGGGTCAGGAGGAACTTCTTAGAGGGGTGTGTGGATTGGGATTTAGGAGGGAGAGGGAGAGGATGGAGGGACTTTTGTAGGCCTTATGAATTGAAATGGGGTGTGGTTGGAGGGGATGGAGGGACTCTTGGAGGGGTGGGTGAATTGGGGGGTGGAGGGGAGAAGATAAGGTAAAAGTGATAGGGGAAAAAGAGAGGCTGAGAAAGAAAATACTGAGTAAAAGATCAGATGGAAAGAAATTCACAGATAGTAATTATAACTTTGAGTGTGAATGGGATGTTTAATACAACTCTCTTTGTGGTGACAAAGAACTGAAAATTGCGGGGATTTCCATCATTTGGGTTATGCTTTGTGGTTGAGATAGAATACTACTGTGCTATAAGAAAGGATAAGCTCAAAAAAATGAGCTCAATGATCTTAGAAAGGCACAGAAAGACTTGCACCAAATAACGAAAAGCAAAGTGAGCAGAACCAAGAAAACACTGTATACAGTAACAGCAATACTGTGTTCAGAACAATTTTGAGTGAGTCATGTTGAATATTATAAATACACAACTTAAAAATAAAGGACATGTAAAGAGAGATGGGATCTGCATCCAGAGAAAAAATTGATAAATAGAAGTATATAGAGAACAATTTTTTTATATATGCCTATTTCTGTCTAACAGTAGCCATCTCTAGGGCAGGAGGAGAGGGTGGTGGGAAGAAAAAAAGGAAAAGAAATAAATTTAACACAATAACTTTATTGTATATTTGGAGGGAATGACAATTGTACATGGTAGACTTGCAGTTTATTGAGCAATCCTCTTTTTCACTATATCCTTATGGAAATGTTTGTTTTGCTCCCTGAATTGAAAATAAAATAATTTTTAAAAAAAAGGTAAAACACAGTTCCTAATCCCGAGGAGTTCACATTCTAGTGGAGATGACAACATGCAAATAAGTTTGTACATATAAGATATATGTGTTATATGCAGTATTGGCATATGTACAGATACACATGTGTATATTGTATACATTTGGTCTGGGGCTTCCCTGTTCTCTGATCCATAAGTTCTCTTCTTTGTTTGGTCTCTATGTCCTTTGGATTTAAGTAAATCTTCCTGTAACTCCAGTCAACATGAAAGGAAATAAATTCTAGAGTTTACCATGCATATGCATGTAAGAAATAATTAAAAGAAAAGAAATTAATTTTAGAAAAAGAACATATCACTTAGTTCTGATAAGGAAGGTATTTCCCATTACCCTCTCTCATTCTGCTCCACAGACTCATCTACCTCACAGATAGAACATAAACTTTCTCCCTGATTCCACAGGGAGATACATTTCAGAGTAAAATATTTCTCAGCTTTATTCTAACTGATCATATAAAATGCTTTTCTCAAAATTCAGTTGGGCTCTTAATGACCATGGTTTTAGGAGTGGACTCTGACTCTCATATAGGGCAAATCCCTTCTCTGTACTTCCGTTTCATTCTGTAAATTAATGAGGGTTGGCCTATTTAAATCTGGAGTGTCCTTCAGCTATATATCCTATGTATGACTTTTATTGATTTAGGGGTTGGTGACATTCAAGGATGTGGCTGTGGACTTCACCCAGGAGGAGTGGGGCCTCTTGGACCATCCTCAGAAGGAGTTGTACAAGGGGGTCATGCTGGAGAATGCCCAGAACCTGCTTTCCCTGGGTAAGGACACTTCCCCTGGCAATGCTGAGTTTACAATCAAAGGAATATCTTCATTCCCTAGTGTGCAGGGTTTGGAGCATTTACCAATTATTAAAGAGAGAAAAGTGTTGGTGTCCTGTGTCGAAGACACAGGGTCCTCCTGCTGCCTGGTTTTCCTATAGGAAGCCTTTGCATTGTGTGATAGGAACCTTAAGGTTTCCTTTGTTCCTCCTGGAGCTGTCTGTTACCACTTCTAGGCAGCTTCAAGTCAAAGATCAAAACAGTAGACATGGAATTACAGACATGGAACTATGAAACATAGAACCAGTCTCAGAGGTTATTCAGTCTAACCTCTACCTGAACAAGGATTTTGTCTGACAACTCTCTGAAAACTGCTCATGTGGCTTTCCCCTACCAGCTCTTCCTCTTCGGGATGGGTCTAGTATTTGGCATATTCTTGTTTTTAACAAGCATCAATTCGTAGCTCACAGCTTCTACTTGTCCCTCTTACAGCAAGTTTGTCCTTAATCTTCCCCTTTACTGCTGTCAAATTCCAGGACAAATGGTGGGAAAGGAAGGGAAGGGAATAGGCATTTATATTCTCCTACTATTTGCCAGGTGCTGAGCCAAGTGCTTTCTTTATAATATTATATCACTTTATCCTCATAATAACCTTCCAAGTTTGGTGATACTATTTTCCCCACTTGACAGTTGAGGAAACTGAGGCAAATGGAGTTTAAGTGACTTGTCCAGGGACATGCAGCTAGTAAGTGTCTGAGGCTAGATTTCGACTCTGACATTCCTCACTCTAGCCCCAGGGCTCTCTCCACTGCACCATCAGCTGCCTCTAATTTCTACCGAATGGAAAGTGTGCAATGAGTTCATTCTTCTATGAGGTTGAACCAAGACCAAATTTTCCGATTCCAACCTGGTTCCATGATCTTCTCCCCCATCTCTCCCCAAAGCTCAGAAAACATATGAGAATACACATCAGGAGTCTGGGACACCACCTTGCGGTCCTTGCTTGCATGTCTCTGGCATTGCCAGGAACAGACAGGCCAAGAAATAGAATTTGGACCAACTAGGGTTTCTTCAGTTTCCCAGCAGGAGAATCTCACCTCAAGAGGCAGAAATTCTCCAAGTGATCAGTACATTAGGTTTCTATAGGTTTCAGGGAGTGAGGAACAAGGGAGGAGGACAGTGCAAAAGCTGGTTCATCAAGGTTCCTGTTTCTGAGGCTTGAGGCTGGGCTTAGCAATAATACTTTTTAGCCCATTTTAGAATTAGGAGTTTCTACCAGAATGGAACTGGACAGGATTGGGGGCAGAGGTTTGGCTCTTTCTCAGAACAGGTTGTACAACAGGATAATGTGGCACATCCTATTTTGGGTTGCTTGCATTACAAGCACTAATGAGTGAGTACAGACCCATGTGTGAACATAATGGGGTGAATCTCAAAATGGAGCAGCTGTGGGTCTGAACGCACTTCCTTAAAGAGAACTAAATTACAAGTTTCTTTTCATCCTCATCATTTACTGACTTCCCATGCCCAGGGCTTCCAGTTCCCAGCGAAGATGTGGTCTCTTATTTTGAGCAAAGGGAAGCCCCATGGATGCTGGAGCAGGAAGGCCTGAGGAGCTGCTGTCCAGGTGAGTGAGATGAAAGCAGGTATGTGACAACTGTGATGACGACAATTCCACGTGTGAGAGTGAAGCAAGTCCTCGATTTGGGGCAGGAAGACCCGACTTGGAAATCTTATTCAGATATTTCTCAGTAGTGGCTTCCTGCGTCAGTCACTGAATCACTGAACCTCAGTTTCTCTACCTGTAAAATGAGGGGTTTGAACTCCATGGCCTTTCAGCTCCCTTTCAGAGATCAATCTATGATCCCAAAAGAAGTCATTGTTTGGAATTTGGGGGCATGGAATTCTCCTGAAAGTACAAAGAGGGATTAGAGTATCCTACATGAGTTCATTCCTAGACTTTCTTCAAGTCAACAAACATCCAAGTGACTACTCTGTTCCAGACCTTGTGCAAAGGACCAAGCACACAAATTGATGCAAGGAACATTCCCTGCCCTAATGGAGCTCACACTCTGGTGGGGCAGAGAACACGCCAACAGCTATGTAGAAACCCACTCTGGACAGGATAAATAGGAGCTAGTCAAAAGAGGGAAGGCTCTAAGTTTAAAGGGCACTGGGAAAGGCTTACTGTGAGAAGTAGGCTATAGCTGGGGCTTCAGGGAAACCATGGAGAACATTCTAGGCAACAGGGATGGCAAGGAAAACCCATGGAGTCTAGAGGTGGAAGAGAAAGGAGGCCCATAGCAATGAATTATAACATATATGGGAGGGTAGAAGGGTGAAAGAAGATTGGAAGAGTAGAAAGGGGAAGGTGATGAAGTGCTTTACCTGCCCTAGAGAGGATTTAGTATTTGATGCTTTACCTGGGGAGTCACTGGAGGCTGTGGAGTAGGTGGTAACATGGTGAGGTGAGAGCTCTAGGAAGATGAACTAGATACCTGGGTGGAGGAAGGACTGGACTGGACAGAGATGAGGCGGCTGGACCAACCAGCAGGCTCTGACACTATCTCAGGTGTGGGGGACAAGGGGTCTAAACCAAGAAAGTGACAGCGTTGAGAGACAAAGAGATGTATCTGAAAGATGTCACAAAGGTGGAATCAACAGGACTTTGCAACAGATTGCACATGGGCATCACGAGTGTGAATTTGTAAGAGTAGATGAAGAGAGCATGGCGTTTCATCTCTGAGCCTGGACTGTTGGGAGGATGCTTTGGATAGCATTAGGAATGGAAGAAGATGGGAGGGTTGTGGGGATCCTTTTGGATATGATAGAAGATGAACCTAGAGAGAGTAATGTCACTAAAATCTAGAGGATGATCAAAACTAGGGGCAGATTGATAGTGTCAAAGACTGCAGAGAAGTCAAGAAGGATTAGGATTAAGAAATGGCCACTGAATTTTAGCAATATTGTGATTATTCATAGACTTTTAGAGACGCATTTCTGTTGGACAATAAAATTGGGAGCTAGATTGCAGAGGGTTTTTTCTTTCTTTTTTTTTTTTGACTATTATAAATACCCAAATCAACTATAAAGGGAAAATGAGGAAAGATGCTATCCACATACAGAGAAAGCACTGATAAACAGAAATATATACAGAATAATTTTACATAGATATACTTATTTGTGTCTAATGGTGGCTATATCTTGGGCAGTGGTTGCAGGGGAGGGGAAAAAATGAAAAGAAAGAAAGGAGTTTCAAAGAAAGTAAAGGAAAGGAGTTGGAGACATCAATTGGAAAGGGCCATGTCTAGATGTTTAGCCAAAAGAAATGGAAGAAAGATATTGGACACCATCTCATAAGGATGCATGGATCTCATGAGAGTTTTTAAAGGATTAGAAAGAAATTGTTTCATTTGTGATCATAGGAAAAGAGTCACTAGTATGGGAGAAAATGAAAATCAGTAACAAAAACTGGAGATACTAGTGGAGGAATATATGAAGGTAGATGAGGGGGTGGAATGAGATTATTTGCACATGAAAAGGGATTTTCTTTACCAAGCAGAAGAATAATCTTTCATCTGGTATGGAGGTCGCAAAAGAGAAGTCATCTGATTTACGTGAGATGAGGAGGACAAGATAGTCCTTGATGAATGTCCAGTTTCTTTCAGTGGAGGATAGAAGTAAGCCATAACGGATGGTTAGGGGTGAATGAAAAGATCTGGGAGAGTTGCTGTTCTGGAAAGCAAAAGATTGCCTTGCCACAGTGAGGGCCCAGCTGAGTTTCTGTAGCCTTCATTGTTAGTGGACCTGGCAGCCTGCTTTCATGCTTTTCTCTCTCTCCATTTAGCTGCACATGAGGCTAATGGTCTTAATGAGGCTGCTGCCTTACTCGAGAGTCCTCCAAGGCTAAGTTTTGCATAAATCATCAACATGAGTCCCTTTGCGAATCTCTATGGCTCAATCTCTGTCCCATTCTTGAAGAGTCATGGATTAGGTTCGTGTAGATATCCATCACATCAGCATAGGGAGCTGGGAGTTAGAGACCCACAGGTGTCCTACAGCATGTGACCCTTCAGGAGCCTAGAAAGAAGCCTCTGTGACCTTCAGTATTGGTTCTAGTCCAATTCCATCAGGGTTAGAACCTGACAAAGGTGACTACTTAGAGGTGATTGGGTATGAGACAGGGACAGAAACAGGGCTGAGGCCCTAACATGCATTCAACAACGAGGAGAGGGACCAGAATGTAGGGAGTAGAGGTGGAGGCTGAGGACTGCTATCAGCCCTGGGCTCAGTTAGGAATCAATAAACATTGATTAAATGCTTTCTGTTTCAGGCACTGTGCTAAGCCATGAGGATACAAAGGAAGGCAAAAGGCAGTCTCTGCTGTCACAAAGCTCAGATTCTAGTTTGCAAACAAAAGTTGATACAGGGAAAAGAGAATGTTGGAATGCAGATGCATTTAGTCCAACAAAGAAAAAAAGAAAATAAGAGGAATAAGGATAATATTGATTTAAGAAGGAGAGTAGAATTGGGGGAAATGTAGTTAAAATTAAATAAAAGTAATAGCTAGCATTTATACAACACCTACTATGTGTCATGCAGTGTTTAAATATTGTCTCACTTTATCTTCATGTTAATCCTAGGTCTTAGCTGCTATTATGCCCATTTTACAGATAAAAAAACTGAGGCAAACAGAGGTCTTGTGACTTCCCTAAAGTTACAGGACTAGCACATTGCTGAGGTGGGATTGGAACTCATGTCTTCCTGACTCAAGGCCCAGTATTCTATCCACTGCACCAACAGTTGTATTCTGATTTTTAAATGAAATACGGTGAAAATGCTCACACAAGGATGAAGTGGAAAATGGAAGGGAAATTTTACAAGCTCCTGCTGAGGGATGGAAGTTCATTTTTTATAAACTCTCTAACCAGTCACAACGAATTGCTAATTACTGTTTACAATACTCATTTTTTGATTGGCTCATGTCAAGTACTACTTTAAATGATAAATATATTTGAAGGTCAATTGTAAACATTGCTTTGGGGGGTTTTCTGTTTGTTTTTTATTTCGTGTTTTTTTTTTTTTTTTGCTGCAGCAATCAGGGTTAAGTGACTTGCCCAGGGTCACACAGCTAGTAAGTGTCAAGTGTCTGAGATCAAATTTGAACCCAGGTCCTCCTGACTCTAAGGCCTGAGCTCCATCCACTGCACACCTAGCTGCCCCTGGGTTGTTTGTTTGTTTTTTTAATTAATGTTTACATATGAAAAAAATCCTTTGGAAGCATAGAATTTTTTCAGACATAACTTTGTTGTTTCTGCCACTGGTAAACTGGCTACATACTCACTGAAACTGTACTGAATGATTAACCCATGTTGCCAACCAATTCCTTTGAGAAGTTGCCAGATAGAAGAAAAGTAAATGAACAGAGACTAACTTCAAACTAGAAAACAACCTTAGCATTTCAATGAGTGGCATTTTAAGGTCTGCTTTTGTAGAAAGGTTGTGGTGGTCCATGATGGTTTCATGATGACCTCTATCATGCATGCCTGGCAATCATGGTTTTCAAATAGTCTGCCCTCACCGCTGCAAGAATGCAAACCTAAGTGAGATCTTCATCTGGACATCTCCATATGACCTCAGATGAGGCAGCAGAAAAAATAAGATGAAAAGTGATCACCTGGGAAATTACGTTATGCTTACAGGTAGGTTAAATCATGAAATAATTTGAATATTTAGTACATGTGCACCAAATGGCATTGTATCTATGAAGAAACGATTAAAAATGCAGGCAATGAAAGGGAAAAGGAAAGATTGAAGGTGGAGATAATTTGTCGAGTACTGTGGATAAAGCTTGGCCATTCAGAGTTTGGATTCTAGTCTCAGCTGCTGGGATTTGGGTCAAATCAATCAGCCATTCTGAGCTCATGGCCTGAATTGTGCATGTGATGAGAATGATGACCCTACCTGTGTCATAGGTTTGTTGTGAGGATCCAATGTAATTTTGTGTGAAGCTCTTTGTAAAGTAAATCATCCTTCGAATGTGAGCTAATGGCATTATGAAATGATTGGTTCTGACCATTTAAGATGTTTCTCTTTGCCTGGGGAAATAAAAAGTAATGGAGTTTATGTTCTGCTGGTAGAGGGAAAGGGATATAAATATATATGTGTGTGCATAGTGTCTCTATTTGTTTTTTTGTTGGTTTGTTTGTTTATGTTTTTTCAGAAGGAGAGAGGAGGCTGGAAATGAAGGAAACTACTGCAGCACTAACCCTTTCTGTGAAAGAAACCCACAAGCAAAAGTTAATGAGTGACGGTCCCTCTGACTTCAATTGGAGAGAAATCTGTGTAACACTTGAGAGAATCCACACTGGAGAGAAATATTATGGCTGTAAACAATGTGGAAAGGGTTTTGCAAAGAGGAGATATCTTATTGCACATCAGAAAATCCATACTGGAGAGAAACCTTATGATTGTACTCAATGTGGAAAGGCTTTTAAGAAGAGGGCCCATCTTATTGTACATCAGAGAACCCACACTGGAGAGAAACCTTATAAATGTAATCAATGCGGAAAGACTTTTACATGGAAGGATGGTCTTCTTCAACATCAGAGGATCCACACTGGAGAGAAACCTTATAAATGCAATCAATGTGGAAAGACTTTTACATGGAAGGACAGTCTTGTTAAACATGAGAGAATCCACACTGGAGAGAAACCTTATGATTGTAATCAATGTGGAAAGGCTTTTAGAGTGAAGAGAACTCTTACTCTACATCAGAGAATCCACACTAGAGAGAAACCTTATGACTATAATCAGTGTGGAAAGGATTTTAGATGTCAAAAGAGTATTGGTGAAAATCAGAGGATACACCCTGGAGAGAAACCTTATAAATGTAGTCAATGTGGAAAGACTTTTACTTGGAAGAATGGTCTTGTTCAACATCAGAGAATCCACACTGGAGAGAAACCTTATAAATGCAATCATTGTGGAAAGGATTTTAAACAGAAGGCTCATCTCATTGCACATCAGAGAACCCACACAGGAGAGAAACCTTATAGATGTAATCAATGTGGAAAGACTTTTACATGGAAGGATGGTCTTCTTCAACATCAGAAGATCCACAGTGGAGAGAAACCTTATAAATGCAATCAATGTGGAAAGACTTTTACATGGAAGGACAGTCTTGTTAAACATCAGAGAGTCCACACTGGAGAGAAACCTTATGACTGTAATCAATGTGGAAAGGCTTTTAGAGTGAAAAGATATCTTCTTGCTCATCAGAAAATCCATACTGGCAAGAAACCTTAAGAAAGTAATCAACATGGTAAAGCCTTCAGGCTAAAGTCAGTCCTTGTTTACCATCAGAGAATTCATGGGATATATAGGAATCTTGTCTTATAGTTATTTTATAACTGACCTGAATGAGGAAAGTCATTGAAATGGAGTACAGAGCTTTTTAGCAGAAAATTCACTCTGGGTACAAGCCATCTCTGGACTCCATGTAGGAAGGCTTTCAGCCAGAGATCATCTCTTATCCTCTCTTCGGGGGATTTATAATGAAAAGAAACTTTATTAATATGCCCAGTGGGACAGGCCTTTCTCCAGAACATGGAGGTTACTAGTTAAGGTTAAATTTTGGGTCTGACTTTAATAGAAAGGTGAGATAAGGAAAATAATCCATGCCCACCCTCCAGGTTGCAAAACCAAAAAAGGAGGCAATAGGCCCATAAACTGCAGAACTGTGTGAGAGAATCCATCTGGATGTTCTCAGAAATGTCTTCAGAATAAGGAAAAGACCTTGTGTCAACTGGAGAACAATCTTTGGTGAAGGGAAGAAATCAGATTTGTTTGATCAAGGATATAAAAATTGGGGCAATTCAGGGGAAATTTGTGTTCTCCCACAGCCCACCTACAAGCCTGTATTCAGTCTACATCCAGGCCAATACATGTGACGGTCATTAAGATGAGATTGTTTCTGCCTCCTGATTTTTGCGACCCAACAATCATGGTGATGAGGCAGGGATCCCCCTGATGGACTTGAGGCAGAGCAGAACTGTTGTGTGAACAAAGCAGCCACTGCTAAGCAGGTAAGAGGCCTGGCAATTTCATCTCCAAAGCTTCCCTCGGTTGGAAGGGAAATCTGAAGCAGCTCAGTTCCATGGCATCTGGGCTGCTTGTCACATGCTCTCTCTGAATCAGTGAAGGGCTCGGGTCCTGGCGAGAGCAGCCTCATCAGAGTAATGGTTTCCAGTTCAGAGACCAACACATTGGACATAGGGGAGTAATTCAAGAGGCACTATGGGAAGTCTCCATATCCTCCCACCAAGGCAAGTCAGAAAAGTCTTGCTTTGCCAGAAAAGGCAAACACTGATAGGAAGAAAGGTTTCTAATGAAATTCATCTGGAGGCTAATGAAGACCCAAGGCAGCTTCTGGTTCCCTTGTCACTGAATTTATCAGACAATCTTGCGTTGGAAGGGCCTTCAGAGGCCATCTAGTCCAAACTCATACCTGCAGAGCCCTCTCTTTGAAAACCTTTCTGCTCGAAGACCTGCTAGGAAGGCAGCCCATCATTAGGACACTGTTCATCCCGTCAGGCTGAACTCTGCCTCCTGCAACTTGCACTCATTGGTTCTATGTGTTGCTTCCTTCTTTGAATGTAAAGGCTTCATTTGTTTGTTTGTTTGTTTTAATTTTGGAGGCAATGGTGGTTAAGTGATTTGCCCAGGGTCACACAGCTAGCTAGTAAATGTCTGAGGCTGGATTTGAACTCAGGTCCTCCTGACTCTAGGGCCAGTGCTCTACCCACTGTGCCATCCAGCAACCCCTGAATGTAAAGCCTTTAAAAGAGTTAACATAATTAGGCAGACAACATTGGGAGAGGATGTGGCAGTGCTGATGCCTTCCCTAATTAGCCTGTTCTAACTATAACTCTATGGAGAGGGAGAGGAAAGGGAAATAAAAGATTGCTTGTATAATAGATAGCCTCTTAGGCATACTGGATCCTTCCTTTCCACCTGGTCACATACTTGAAAGGCAGTATGGTGGAACAGATGTGGAGTCAGAGGGCATGGGTTAAAGTTCTTCTGGTTCTTTACCTCTGTGGCTTTGGGAAAGTAATTCAACTTAACTGGGTCTCAGAGGATATCAGACAAGGTGATCTCTACAATCTCTTCCAGCTCTAGATCCCTTGATCCTGTGGGTCTCAGAAGCCAAAGGGGAGCTTAAAGATGAACCCAACCCCTTCCCTTACCCCTCCACCCCCAGCCACTGATTGGTGGAGCCTCAGCTGCAGGTTAGAGCGAATGCCTCAGATGATTTCACTAAACCTTCTGGGTGTGACTGGTCATTTGGAGAGGCAGCAAGATGGGGAGTTTTAAACTAGGTCTTTGTTGAGTTCGTAAACTTCCATGTCATTCCTTACTGTCCAATTCTCTGTGGCCCCGTGGACTATAGCAGGCTAGGCCCTTCTATCCTCCACTACGTCTCAAAGTCTGTCCAAGTTCATGTTCATTGTTTTTTTGTTCTGTTTTGGTTTTTTTGGCTAGGCAATGGGGTTGACTTGCCCAGGGTCACACAGCAAGTGAGTGTTACGTGCCTGAGGTCAGATTTGAACTCAGGTCCTCCTGACTCCAGGACCAGTGTTCTATCCACTGTGCCACCTAGCTGCCCCCCATGTTCATTGTTTCCATGACACCATCCATCCATCTCATCCTCTGTCTTCCCTTGCTCCTGTTTTCTTTTGTCTTTCCCAACCTCACGTCTTTCCTAATGCATCTCATCTTCTCATTATATGGCCAAAAGTATTTCAGCTTCAGTGTTTGACCCTCCAGTGAATAGACTGAATTAATTTCTTTAAGTATTGCTTCATGTCACCTTTTTGCTTCCAAGAGACTCTCAAAAGTCTTCTCCAGCACCGCAATTTAAAAATGTTGATTCATTTCCAAACTTGACCCTCCCTGCTTCCTCCCTCCCTCTGTAGGTTGGAGTCTCTCTCCTGAGGGCAGGGTCAGGACCTTTGCAACTCCTCTGGACTTTACCTTAGTAAATCCCTGTAGGTCAGCTTTCTGCCTAGGAAGAAAAGAGAAAGGCCTCTCCCTCTCTGGGATCCTTCTCCCTGCCCAGCTCAGTCTACAGAGTACCAAGGCCTGGCCCAAGCAGGGAGCCTGGAGCCAGAGGGAATGGCCCCTGGGAGCAGCAACCCCCTAGCCCAGGTGAGTGCAGTCTGTGCACAGACATCAGCCAATGAGGCCATTGCCATAGACAGAGAGGATGGTCTATGAAGCCGGCTATACCTTCCTTATGGACCATTTCTTTACAAAAACAGGCATGAAGTTGGATAAGGTAGTAACAATACTGTCCTGCTCTCTGCTTCTCTGTGTTAAACTGATTCACTGGTACTCTGGCATATGGAGCACTGACTCCTCCCTCCTCTGTTTGTTTTAAAGTTCTCCCTCATTAGAATGGGTCAGGCAGGCTTCCCTGGTCTCCCTGAATCCCTGAATCCCTCCCCTTTACCCTTTCCTGGGTCCAGTCAGTAAACATTTGTTATTGTTGTTGGGTTGATTTTTAGTTGTGTCCTACTCCTTCAGTCATCGTGACTCCATTTGGGTTGTTCTTGGCAGAGAGCCTGGAGTGGTTTGCCATTTCCTTCTCCAGCTCATTTTACAGATGAGGAGACTGAGGCAAACTGGGTTACACCTGACTTGCCCAGGATCACACAGCTAGTGTCTGAGGTAAGATTCAAGCTTAGGTCCTCCCGGGTGCAGGGCCAACACTCTATCCACAGTGCTACCTAGCTACCCCCAACAAGTCACCAGCTTTGTCCAAACAAGCTCTTTTTGTGGAGGAAATCTGGAGAGCCTGGAAATTTCTGACCTACACTGCCATCTTCCCAGAATGCATCCATTGGGGTTTTTTCCAGAGGTGATCTGTGAATTCTTTGAATTGGAAGGTCATTTTCTATGTTCAGAAGTTCTGGCCAACTCTCTTTAATATTTCCTTTGTGACTGGATCAACTTTTTTTTTTTTTTTTTTAACCCAGTCATGTTGTACTGTGAGACTGTTAGAAAAATCTGAAACAAAAACCTACTACAGTGAGTGAGTGAAGGAAAGCCTTTATTACACTGCTCACAAGAGAAGCGGGCACAACATACCCTAGGAGCACATGGGTACTGGTTCAGTGGTAGAATCAACTTTTAAACCATTAGTAAGATCCATACTCCACCCATCAGGGCTATGATTGGTCTAGTTCATCTGAGTTACACCCTTCCTGGACAGCCCATCGAATGTTTGTCCATGTTCGGTTAACTCTGCCCACTTCATGGGTCCCATGTTCAAAAATGGCGGCAATCTCTGCCCTTGGGGTGTGTCAGTTAATATTCAATAAGCAGTGGAGAAAAGCCTTTGCCCTGTGGAGGCCCATCCTTGAACTGGTTTAGCCTCCAGGGCTCTTTTTAAGCAACTAGTCCTATACAGAATGTTTGGGGCACTTTCTGATTGGTTGAGTGATTGTCCACAAGATCTTGGAATTTCTTATCCTGCTGTGGAAGCCCAACCCCCTACAACTTTTCTTACAGAGACCTATGATCCTTAGATTGTCTGTGAACAATTCAGGATGTTTTAAATTCAGTGTGTTTGCTTCATTAAAGGGCAGGTTTTCTTTTGTCTGTCCTTGACTTTTGTTTGTTTGCATTCTCTATTGTACTATCTTTTGTTTTCTTCTGAGAGATTTGCCAGGCCAGATTCTAGGTTTTCTTTTCCTTTAGCCTCAAGGTACCAACTATTAAGAAAAAGAGATAATACACAAAAGAAGGATTAAAAAGGGTTCTAGATGTGAAGAAAGTGCCCAATTCTGGGGTCTGGGGGAGAAGTCAGTCAGAAAAGTCTCAAAGAAGCAGAGCCAGGTGAGAAAGGAGGAGATGGCTGAGGTGAGCCTGCTCTTTAACCTGAGGTTGGGAGTTCACAGTCCCACCCCAGGTAGGTGAATGGGAGGTGTGGGAGGTGTTTGAGAAGGAAGGAAGTTTGGAAGAGCTTCTTTTGGGTGTGAGTTAGGGAACCAATTAGAGATCAGTTATCCACCAATAAAAGGACTGCCTCCCTTTAGTGAGAACCCACACTAAGAATACTATGCAGTGAAGAGTGAGTCAGAGAGCCTAGAGAAATGGGAGATTTAGAAATTCTTGGCAATCTCAAAAACTGTAAAAGAGCAATAAATTCCTCAGTTGTTCAGAAGTCAAACAATAGACTAAAGGAAGTGAAAGGTAGAATGTGGATTACAAAGAGACCCTAAATCAGATGTTTTAAAGAAGAAATCACAGTGATGAGAAATGAAATGATCATTTTGTGCCCAGGATGGAGAATTGTTGCCAAATATCAGAATCTCTGATAAAGTGAATCCTAGGCTCATGATGGAAATGGAAGAAAATGAAATGGAAGACCATCAGATTGCCAGTGCATTGGTCCAACACATGTTGTATATGTAGCAATTTGGAAATTGAGATGACCCCTTCCAAGTATCAGGATTTATGGGGATTAAAATTGTCCCTTATAATAAGAGACTGAGGCATAGCTCTGAGCCAATGGCACCATATTAAAGGATCCACGGTCCCCTCTAATGATAGACCTCAGAACTTCCTCAGGATTTGAGATGCACCTTCTTCTGAGGCCTTGTTTTTATAGGGTTAGGGACCAAATTTGTTACCTGGACATTCTAAATACGCTTGCCACTTAAGCTAAAAGAAAGCTGAAGGGCCTATTTTCAGGAAAGCAGTGGCCCAAAAGTGCTTTGGGGAGACTAAAGAGCATGTGTGAACATTCTGGAGTTCTTTCCAGTTAGCTAACCATGTCGAAAAGAGGAGGCTCTTGACTCTGTGGAGATATTCAAAAAGAACTGTCGACCTTGGCCTAGGCACTCTTGGGGGATCAGGGTTGTTCCTTTGACCACAGCGACAGACCACCTGTACAGGGAGAGGCCTTGGAGGCCACGAGAAAGTCCTAACTTCACGGCCTCTGTTTGTTCCTTTCAGTTAGAGGTCAAGGAATTTGGTGCTTCCAACCTTAGGAGTTTGGAAAGGTCAGGAGGGTGCCTCAATATCCCAGCATTCCAGAATGTGGCTTCGCAGACATCCCATGTCAATGCCCCAAGGAGCAAAGTGAACTGTCCTTCCAGATCCCAGCCCAGCAGTAGCTAATCAGGACTCATCCTGCACCAACCTCAGCTTTGAACATGAATTTAGTAGGATCAGTGCTACACAGGGACTGAGCTAAGTTGAGATAACTTCCCCACATCCCTAGAGAACGAGATTCTGTAGGGGAGAGTAGGCCCCAGAGGTATTGGGAAAGACATTTTTTCCTTACTATTTTTGCGAAGTGAATATTCCTTTGTGAGTGCTTGTGGGGTCCTGATTGGTAAACACCATAACAAGGACACAGTGGCCAGCACACAATCTTGAGTGCCTGGGCACATTTACCGAATAGCACTGGGTACATGCCTGGATATCTGAGAATTGGACCCAGTACTAAGTATAAACTAAAATATTAACCAAATCATTAACTGAGCAGAAAAACCCAAAATATCCACCAAGCCACAATGAAGCACCCTATGGCTCCTCTTCCCTTTGTCTGATTTCTATAATTACCATGATGATTTCTGAGAGGTCTTTGTGGGGATCTACTGAATTGTCTTGCAGCCATCCTAGATTGCCCCTACTTGTATGTAATTATGATTGATTAAACTCC